AGATGACAAGGGAGCCACATCCAGCCAGTACCAGCCGCAGGCAACTGCGCGCTTCGAGGGACAAGCATCTGGCCACGTGAAAGCATATTGGATGGAAGAGCATTTGCCTGAATACCAATATACAATGGTGACCAATGCAGACGGGGACGATGTGCCCGGCATCCTCTTTGAAGGTACGGCTTATGAGCTGGAGCTGATATCGGCATCCGACGTTGAGACCATTGCCAGCCAGACTCGCGTCGACAAGAAGTTTTCTGATTTTGCAACTCGTGTCAACAAAGTTTGCAGGGGGCATGGATCCTGTGCCAAGGTGCCAATGGACAAAGACCTTTGGATTGACTTGGAGGATTTCGCCAAAGCCTTCCGCAAGGAAGTGCCCCCAGATGTTTTCATCACTGTCGCAAACCTGTTTGGCACCGCAATGAAGATCGACAAGCATGGCAAGAGTAGGTTCCAATTCTTGTGTGCAAAGATCTCCCATTTTCCTGTCGACAATGGCCTAGGCATGCCGTATTATCCTGTGAAAATCCGTGCAATTCAGGGTCACTCCGAAGCTGCCTTGAAAACCGCAGGGGGTCTTTATGCCAATTCAACCATGGTGTATTGCTCAGACCATGTATCCCCCGAGCGAAAAGCCGCCTTCACTGGCGTGCCCCTGTGTGCCATGACTGAGGTTCCTGAGGTTGTCTTCCATCGCACGATGAAAAGCAGCTGGAAGAGCATCGCACAGAACGGCCTGATTCCAGGCGGCGGTGCAACAGTCAACAGTGGCCGTGCTCATATCTACATGGCAGAACACTGTATTGGCACGCAGGGGTATCGATCTGGATTAAGAGCAAAATGTCCAATCGAAGTCAAAATCGCAATGCGGCAAGCAGTTGAAGCTGGTGTCATCTTTAGTCGCACAGAAATGGATGGGATTTTGTGCTCAGAACGCATCCCACCGCAGTTTCTGGTCAGCATCTCAGAAGAAGGACAGGTGCTTTGGTCCCGCGCCGAGAGCAATCTCGAGCCCAGCACATGGACTGGCGCGGCATCAGCCTCAGCACCGAAAGCCAAAGCGGTCACCTTGACTGCCCGAGATGATGCAAATGACGACCCAATGGATGACACCAGCACGGGGCGACCCGATGCCAAGTCCACTGATGATGATGCAGCCACTGCCTCAATGCAAGTTGACCAGCCGCCCGCAAGGACGCGCCGTGTTTACATTGCACCCAAGTACTGCGAACCTTTCATGGGCTCCTGTCCCCTCTGCCAGGTTGAGTACGTCAGTGGCCAAGTGACATGCACCACATGTGGTTTTGAGCCACTCCCAGTGGACGAAAGTGGCGACACAAAAGAGGCCAACAAACCCAACAGGAGGACCCGTATCCTTGAACGGCGAATGCAAAGTCTCGCCGGGTTCGGAATGTTTGGGAAGATGAGCGGAAGCTTGCTGACAGCCTTGACGGAAGAGCAAGCCAACCTGCTACGCCGAGAACTGGGCCCCAGGGGAATCACATCTGTGGAATCAGCAGTCCTCAAAGACTGCCGCGACAGGCATCGACGTGCAAAAGCGCTGGGCTACGAGGACGTGGAAGACAGATACTCCAGCGACGTCACTTTTTGCGACCGCATCCACGGTGAGGGGAAGGACCTGCAGGACTGCATATTTGACGATATGTTCGCATATGGCAACCTCCCCGATCCCCCAAGGACCAGAGCTCAGATCTCGGCTGGCGTCGCCGCCAATGCCCAAAATGAGAACTGCTTATCTAAGTTGATTTTCATGTCTCAGCCTCGTGGCGTTGATGGCTTCCCAGTTGAGTTCCGCAAAACATGGAAGAAGGTCTGGGGTTTCATGTTTGGCCGCCACATTTTTACAGAGGATGAATATGTCAGCTACATCGGCCGTCGTGGCGCATTCCGTGGCCTGTTGACCTGGAAGGGTACTGTCCAAGTCCCTCTTGATGGCACTCGTGATTTCCTCGAAAAGGTGTATGAGGAAAACCTTCCCTTGGTTCGGAGCAATCTTGAACGCAAAGAGAAGCAGAGCGCCGCTGCAAAGGCTGGAGGTCCTGGAGGTCATAAGGCCGACCCCACGGTCGCGCCCACCATTGAGCGAAAGCGCAAAGCCGAAGCTGATGCATCCGCAACCGCACCAGATGTCACAGCCGCCTCAAGCTCTGCTCGCGCAGATGCCTCGCACGCTGATGCCCCAGCCGCACCATTTCTGGTACCTGAACCACCAACATCCAAAGCAGGAGCACGACCATTCTTGGAGCCTGAGACACCGCCCACTGCAAAAGCAGCAACCGCAGGAGTCACTTCGAAGGCTGCAAGCTCCGGTCGCCCGGATGCCTCTTGGAGTTGGAATCGTGATCACTATGGTGCACGCCGAGAATGGAGTTTCTGGCGTGGGGCTTGGTATTACCGTGACGAGGCCGGCGGCCGTTGGATCTTTTGGAACCGTTAGGGAGACGATGATTTTCTTTTGTAGCATAGCGCAAGATGTGGCATGGTAATGTGCCTTCCTTGCAACGCTGCGCTGGGTTTTACGGGCTTGAGCTTTTTAGAGGGACCTTTGAAAGACTGCACAAAATGTCTAAAACCAACTAAAGAAATTCGGCTACCCGCGAGGGTATGCTTTTCTGGGTTATTCGTTCTCCGCAGTCGTCCCTGCTCGCCCGAGGGGGGTGTAAAAACTCCTGCAGTAAAACCATGTATTGTATATATCATCGATCTGCCCGATAGCGTTGGTTCAAAAGAGCTGAGTGCTTAACGGTGTTAGCTTAGTATTTCACCCCATTGTCGGTTGACCTGGTAAAATACATGGTCCTAATATTATGGTTTAGTTTATTATACTTATCCGTAATTAACAATTATTATCCCACTAGTTTCCTATATCAGCTCATGTTTAATGGGGATGTAAGCAACTAACAATAGTTGTAATGCACAAATTACCCCGTGGTAAATCAACATAGACCCTGAAAATGACCAATTTATAGTGGAAACTAGTCTTCCAACCCCTATCTGCCAGGGTCTATGTTAATTTACCAGAGGGTAATCGACGCTAATGATGTTTAATCCCATTCCCCTAACATGAAAAAACCATTATTCTTTGATCCCAAATAAGTGTACATCCCTTACTAAACCACGGTTTCCAGGGAGTGTTTTTTACTGGGGGGTGGGAGTAGGAGCCATCCGCCATCCAACAGTGGGGTTTTGTAAACGCTGGGAACAACGGGGAACTTTCACCATTGTTGTGGGGATAATGGTGGGGGAATGGGATCAAACGGGGAGATATCTCGGGTTGATACTGGGATACTGGGATATTCTTGAGGGATTTGGAGTAGATGGGGAAGGATCAAAACTTATTAAATCCCATATTCTTGGGGGTTATGAACATCAAATTACAAGGCATTTCGGGGGTGAACAGAAGGGTACTGGGGTTTGGAACCTGCATTCCAAGCTTCTCCTACTGCAAATATTTTTTTCAGCCTCGTCAAATATTGCAATCAATACACGACTAAAAAACATATACATACAATTACCATGGTGTCAACCAACATAGATGTGGAAAATTCATGGTTTTCCTGTTTTCCTAGAAAATGATCTCCAGCTGGTAGGTTTTCCACATCTATGTCAGTTTGCAGGAGGGTATACTGTATACTGCAACAGGTTTCTGTGTAGATGTGATGGATAGGTTATATATATATACTTATCACTATATATATATATATATACACCACTTACATACCACTTATAGACTATATGTGTTTGTGATAGTTAGCAGGGGAAGCGATTTGGCACATGGCTAACATATTTTTATGTTTGGGAATCAGAGCTACCATCTATCGAAGACTACAGAGGTATAACGGTATAACGATCCAGATGCCCATCCCCACATTGATGACAACCCTCCTGTAATTGTGGGAACATATCCTAAAAAACATGGAGCTTTAGTTCGCTTGGATTTTCATGAAACTAGATATGTTCGGATCATGAAACGATTGCAGGAGGGTAATGTCACCCCCGGATTTTGCTAAACCCTGGTTGATTAATTAGGGGGGTACTCCTCTAATAGTCATAATCCAATACTTAAATGGTACCAACAAAAATGGGACTAGGAGGTTACGAAAATCTCGTGGTGATGAATCGATGGAATTTCCATGGAATTTCCATGGTCCTTGCTGAAAGATGCGAGAAAAAAGGGTCCAGAATTTTTCGGGTCACGATATCCATAAGTTGGAAATTCTGAAAACCAACCGGCTATTTTTGGGACGACATTTTGGACTTCGCAAAGGAGATATTTTTAGGGGATCCTGCTATAGAGCGAAAAGAAACCACTGGTGTTTGATGCAAAAAAGTCTCGTTTCATTGTGTTGATTTAAGGGAACGTCTGGAAACAACCATGATTTTTAGCACCAAATATATGAGCGTTCTGTAGATTTTTCCTTCAATTCTTGGATTGTGAAAATTTCTCCATGGATCGTGTCAAGCGCCCCATTTCTTTGTCAATGCTCATGTCTGCGTGTAAGTTGAGATCCCAACGTTGGAAAGCTGGACATAATATTGCCCTCTGGTAAACTGTCCCATAGCTATGGAAAGATCCACAATTTTTCATGGGTAAATCCACTATTTCTATGGCCATGTTCAATAGCTTTTTGTATGTTTACCAGAGGGTATTCCCATATCTTCCCATGATTTTCCCATAAAACCATATAAAACATCCATTTCTAGTGGGTTGGTTAACCTTTTCGAACTAAGCATCCTGGTTGCACACTCAAAGTGGCATCTTTCGGATGATGGAAATTTCTAAGGCCAGCCCCGTTGGATGCCCATTTCCAGGAATGGCAATGGAACATGGCCTAAAGTAGATGATTTTCATGGTTTCATGATGTTTAATGGGTATATAAATCCCCATGTGCAATCGTTTTGGTCACTTCTCTGAAGTCAACTTTCCCAAGGGTTGGACAACAGATGGGTCGCAGAATTTGTCTGTCTAGAAATTCTAGGTGGGTCGCAAAGCTGGGAAACGCACAATCCACGTGGGGAACGCCAAGGGATTTGGTGAGAGGCTGCCAGATCTGCTGTCGATGTTTTTGGTGGATCTGTTGAAGCTTGAAATTTCAGGATCCGATTGATTGGAGGTACGTTAGTACCATATAAGGCTATATTTTGTGGGTTGTTTTAGCTTGGGTTGAAGCTTGGGTTTGTTTTAGTCATCAGACATGAAAGCTACATTACCCTCTGGTTAACTGTCCCATAACGAACTGGAAAATCACCATTTTAAATGGGTAAATCAACTATAACTAAAAATGGCCATTTCCAAAAGCTATGTTAGTTTACCAGAGGCTAACAGAAAATGGGGATGTTACGGTCAAAGGGTTGGTTTTTGGATGAGTTCAAAGTTGTTCTTTTAAGGCGTAAGCAAGGGAATTCGGTATGAGATTATGAGTCACACAAATATTTGCTTTCATCAACAATGCAAACTGACTGGAGGCTAGTGGATTGATATTACGGTCTTGTTCATTTTGACGGAGGAATCGATTGAAATCAATCATTGTGAGATATTCTAGATATGCATATATATATATATATATATACATATGTGGAACAAGCCATAAATGGGGAAATAGTTTCCCACAAACAAAATTGATGTCAAGGAAATATATATATATAAGGTAAACTCAGTTCATCTCCAGGGTTTGAGCTGTTTCCAGATGTCCTGTTTGCGGCCCCCCCTTGGCCCGCACGAATCACCGACGTGGAGCTTGGTTCATTGGTTAAACAGCCTGGGAACTTTTGCTGCTTAGATGCGCTAGAAATCTCTTAATTACTTGAAATTCCGCTCGTGTTTGTTGGTTCATTGAATCATCCAAGTTTTATTTTGACCTGTAATGTAATGTGATTCCCTCAGCCACTTCTAGGTATGGGTCAAACCAAGCCCCGAAGACAATACATATATATATATCTATATATTGTATATGATGTCTAATTATTCTTGAGAAATTATATGCCTAACTATTTATTGTATTATACGTACATGTATATAGTGTATATATATATATATTTATATTATGTATGTAATGTATGTATGTATATGGTATGGTATGGTATTGTATTATATTGTAATGTTATGTAATGTTATCTTATGTAATGTTGTGTAATGTCATGTAATGTTATGTAGTGTTATGTAGTGTTATGTAATTTTATGTATGTAATGATATGTAATGCAATGTAATGCAATGTAATGCGATCTATGTAATGTAATGTAATGTAACATAACGTAATTCAATGTAATGTAATGTAATGTAACGTAACGTAATTCAATGTAATGTAATGTAATGTAATGTAATGTAATGTAATGCATATATATATATATAATTAAATATATATAATTATATATATATATCAGGTCACTACTAGTACCCTGATGTGAGCTACAAAAAGGTAATTCAGGGTTTTTGACCCCCAAGTCAGTTTCTCCGGATTGGTACCCCACGGCTCATCCCCGAGGGCCTAACGTCACCTTTGAAACCGACTAGGGCACCCATGGGTACCCCAGAATCCCATAGTTTATTATCATTTGGTTGGTGGTTTGGAACATGGCTTTTATGTTTCCATATATTGGGAATAATGATCCCAACTGACTTTCATATTTTTCAGAGGGGTTGAAACCACCAACCAGTCATCTTCTGCTTGGCAGTGAGGGGCCTACTGTCCCAAGTCTGACAGTCCCAAATGGTGTGGATCAGATTCACAATCCTTTCCGCGAAACCCTGCCGAAAGATGGGTATATTAGGGATTATTTGACCAGTAAACGTTTGAATTTAACCAGCCATTTTTTTAAAACCCATCTAAAGTAGTGATGTAACTAGTCGATAAGACAGTCCACTTTACCAGCGAAAGAAGATGAACAAAAACATGTGCAGTTTGGAGTATCCTGATTTAGAGTCAAAAAATAACCAATTGATAACGAATAACCGCACAATATAGCTGTAAAGCTTGCGTTCCCTATAATTATATGTGATATACATATGTATATATATATTTATACATATGTTATGAGATTGTAAGGCCCATCATCCTGCAAAGATGCTTCATATTGGGGGAACGCGGCACTTTGATGGCTCGAAATTATGTCTATATACTTGTTTCTTTCATAAATCAGTAAAACATAACACTGGAAATTCCCAGCTGCTACTGAAATATATGGAGGCTTCAAATCCATGGGGGTACCCCAAAATCCATGGCATTCTGATAGGATTTTCCATGAAAGAAACCGTCCAGCTATTGGGGTGCATTACATCCATTTATGGAAATCCTCATATGAAATCAATGGACGGAAAATTCCACTGCAAGGGTAGATGAGTCGGAAAAGTCTCAGACCTCTCGTTCTGACGCTGCAAGAATTCTGGGTTTGAACCGCTGGCTTGGTCATGTGAATCTTCGAGACACAAAATTGCTAAAGATGGGGATGTATCATGTGATAATCTGTTATATTATCATATGATACCATATGGTACTATCATATATGATAATATATGATATATCCATACGTATTATATATAATATATCCAATAAAAACGAGGGAACTTGAAGTGGTTTATTTATTGGATATCTTGGCGGTTTCCCCGCCCCGCTTCGGGGATGATCTATGTTTGCTTCGAATATGTGTAGACAGTTATCCTACATTCACATAGAAAAACGGAGTTGAATCATCTTGAAAAACATGTATATATAGTATATATATATATATACATTCATATTTACACAGTAATTATATACTATCTCCCAGTCTTCAGTAAGCCATTTTTGAAGGGTCAAGTCGAAATTCATCAAGGCCCGGCTCAAAGAAAGTATCTGGACGAAAGGCGGATGGGGAATATTCCGAAAAAATGATCAAACAATGGCCAAACTGTTGAGGTTGGTGAATACTAAACAATTTATCATTTATCCAGATATATGGAGAACATGCTAGATACCCAGCTATCAGACACAGACTTTTTCAGGATATCTATATGCTTCACCATGGTCTGGTATCACAATACCAAACTACGAAAGATGACATGTTGACCAGAAGTCCGAAAGCCTTGTCACCCGACCCGCACGAGTTCTGATGCATCTGCGATGCCAACCGCAACCATTCCATCAGCACAGTATGAATGGATTTTCTTGAGAGAACAGGCCTATGGGGAAACTGTTTTGGAGAGATTCTATTCGCAAGCCGTGCCATATCTTGATATGTGTTTTGAATTTTGATTCACGGACTCCCTGACCACGTGCTTCTGCTTCGCAATGGTTTCCTTGATGCTCGGCACGCCCTGCTCCTTGGAAAATAGTTGGCGTGTAAACTTTTCATCCCTGCCCTTGATGCTCTTTTTGCACGCTGCCCAGCATTGCGTTTTATCAAAATTCTCTTGCTCCCCAATCTTGTTTCTTGCCGCACGCGCATGTGTAGATTTGAACAAACCACTGTTTATATCATCATGTTCATTCATTCGTTAGATCCGCATTTGTGATGGTGCATTCCTTCCTGTTTGCGGGCTGCATCTTCTTTTCTGGCACTTCCATCCCAATTCACACGGCTTACTTTTTCAATCTTGCGGATCTTGTCCTCCAAATGCCACAGCGTCAGCTGAGGTGCTCACAAGACAGCCAGAGATGCCACGCAACCTCCCTGGCCAGGCGAGCTGTGCAACTTGGGCCCCCTGCAGGGCCTACAAGACAAGATGTTCAACCCAGTTCAGATGACGATTTCGGTACCAAGATTAATAGGGCTTTGAATGTGCAAAATTGGGATTTCACAACCAAAATCTGTTTTTTTCACCAATCTCAGGGATGCTGCCATCATACATAGTACCAGTCAGCTATAGTCAGCTAGTGTGCAGAACATGGTGTCTGTGCAGTGGTCCGGTGAAAGGAGGGAAGTTCCCGAAACAATGTGGTTTCAGAGGTCTTGTGGCTCTGGTGTCGCCAAGGGAGGGTTTGTGTTGCTGCGCTTACGTGCGCGGCCATTGCCCACAGCAAGGAAGATGAGGCAAGAAGGTTGCACACCACTTTTGGATGTAGGTGTTGCTTTTGGGCCGATAGTTCCGCGATGCTCAGAGAAGTGGTAGCTCAGGGAAGAGCTGGCCCAGAGAAAATACCTGGGAAAAAAATCAGAGTGAAAGAATGAGGGAAGAGAGTGATGAGAAAAGAAATACCTTTGAGACGAGAAATTCATTTGGAGCGGTCAAGCATTCGTTCGTGCATTTGTTCACTGACCAGGTCAGCTCATTCATTTCATTCCTTTTATTCTTTTCATTTCCTTTCTTTTTATTCCTTTCATGTTGTTCTTTTCATTTCCTTTCATTTCCTTTCATTTCATTGCATTCATCAATCATTCACTCATTCGCTCATCCATTTGTTCGTTCATTTTTATTCGTTCATTGTTTCACTTTCTGACTCACTCATTTACTTGTGCTTTCTTGATTCACTCCATGCTATCCCGTTGGTGTCATTTCGTTTCGGTTGTCATTTAATCAGCAGTTAACTTGTTGCAACCCATTTTTACTTCATGTGGTTTTCTTCCAAATCCATTTGATTGGAAAGTGCCTCGGTTGTGCACGCGAAAACCGATGCAGTTGTGCACGCGAAAACAAATCACTTGTGCATGCGGATGACGATGACGATGACGATGGTGATGGTGATGATGATGATGATGACGACGATGATGATGATGATGATGTTGCTTCTGATTTTTGATGACGATGACAATGACGACGATCATGATGACGATGATGATGATGATGATGACGATGATGATGATGATGATGATGATGATGATGGTGACGATGACGATGACGGTGCGAATGATGATGGTGATGGTGATTGTGACGATTATGATGATGATGGTGATGATAATGGTGGTGATGATGAATATGATGGTGGTGATGATGATGGTGATCACGATGGTTTTAATATTTTTCTGCTTCGGATGAAGACCATGTGTACTTGTATTTTGCATCTTGTTGAGCTGCTCCGGTGTGCGAGACTATGGCTGGCAAGTAGCGGCCTGCTGCTTGCAAGAGACCCCCAGCAGGTGTGGCTGGTAGATCCTGCCCTTTTCTTCCCTAGCCCCACCCCACCCCCAAGGTTGAGGTGTGATGGTAAGCCGAAGGAAGTCGAGTAGCGGTTGTGTCCCTATAATGAAGTTAAGCAACGGGTGTGGCTGGTAGATCCTACCTTTTCTTCCCTAGCCCCGCCCCACCCACCAAAGCTGAAGTGTGATGGTAAGCCGAAGGAAGTCGAGTAGCGGTTGTGTCCCTATAATGAAGTTAAGCAACGGGTGTGGCTGGTAGATCCTACCCTTTTCTTCCCTAGCCCCACCCCACCCCCCCGGAAGCTGAAGTGTGATGGTAAGCCGAAGGAAGTCGAGTAGCGGTTGTGTCCCTATAGTGAATTTAAAGCAACGGGTGTGGCTGGTAGATCCTACCCTTTTCTTCCCTAGCCCCACCCCACCCCCCCGGAAGCTGAAGTGTGATGGTAAGCCGAAGGAAGTGTAGCGGTTGTGTCCCGCAATGGTAAGTCCCTCAGGAAGTGGAGTAGTAGCGGTTGTGTCCCTATAATGAAGTTAAGCAACGGGTGTGGCTGGTAGATCCTACCCTTTTCTTCCCTAGCCCCACCCCACCCCCAAGGTTGAAGTGGGATGGTAAGTCGCAGGAAGTCGAGTAGCGGTTGTGTCCCTATAATGAAGTTAAGCAACGGGTGTGGCTGGTAGATCCTACCCTTTTCTTCCCTAGCCCCACCCCACCCCCAAGGTTGAAGTGTGATGGTAAGTCGCAGGAAGTCGAGTAGCGGTTGTGTCCCTATAATGAAGTTAAGCAACGGGTGTGGCTGGTAGATCCTACCCTTTTCTTCCCTAGCCCCACCCCACCCCCCAAGGTTGAAGTGGGATGGGAAGCCTCAGAAGTCGAGTAGCGGTTGTGTCCCTATCATGAAGTTAAGCAACGGGTGTGGCTGGTAGATCCTACCCTTTTCTTAGCCCCACCCCACCCCCAAGGTTGAAGGGATGGTAAGCCGAGGAAGTCGAGTAGCGGTTGTGTCCCTATAATGAAGTTAAGCAACGGGTGTGGCTGGTAGATCCTACCCTTTTCTTCCCTAGCCCCACCCCACCCCCAAGGTTGAAGTGGATGGTAAGTCGCAGGAAGTCGAGTAGCGGTTGTGTCCCTATAATGAAGTTAAGCAACGGGTGTGGCTGGTAGATCCTACCCTTTTCTTCCCTAGCCCCACCTCACCACCCAAAGCTGACGTGTGATGGTAAGTCGAAGGAAGTCGAGTAGCAGTTGTGTCCCTATAATGAAGTTAAGCAACGGGTGTGGCTGGTAGATCCTACCCTTTTCTTCTCTAGCCCCACCCCACCCCCAAAGCTGAAGTGTGATGGTAAGTCGAAGGAAGTCGAGTAGCGGTTGTGTGCCTATACTGAAATTAAGCAACGGGTGTGGCTGGTAGATCCTGCCCTTTTTTTCCCTAGCCCCACCCCACTGAGTCAGTCTTGTGTGCGCAAGTGAGTCGCTGACCTTTTGATTTTGATTTCCATTTTGATTTTGGTTTACTTGGTCATGATCATTTTTCTTTTTTCTCAATGTCATTACGCCACATTTCATTTCACTTAATGTGCGTTTTCACTCCATGTTTGTTTCATTTCATTTCATTTCATTTCATTTTCAGTTCATTTCATTTCATTTTCCTTTCATTTTCTTTTCATGTCACTTCATTTCATGTCATGTTCATTTTAGTTTTATTTCGTTTTTGTTTATTTTATCTCATTCCATTTCACTCATTTCATGTCAATGGCATTTCGTCTCCCTATCTTCATCCATTTTCACTGTGATTTCCATCATGATGTTCATGTTCAATTTGTTTTCTTTCATTTTATTTTATGTAATGTTTTGATTTTCATGTCATTACATGGTGTCATCAATCAATCGACCAATCAATCAATCAATCAGTTAATCAACCAATCAATCAACCAACCTTGCAGTCGCTTACACCATCAAATATTGATGGCAGTCCAAAACTCTTTCCCACCCATTGTAAAATGTCAGCACGTTCAATCTTCATGTTGTTCTCTTTAATTATCCAATACCCTCTGGTAAACTAACATAGCTATGGAAAATCACTATTTTTAATGGGTAAATCCACTATAAATGGCCATTTTCAATAGCTATGTTTGTTTACCAGAGGGTAGATTTTTCCGGTGAAGAAACCATGGCTCTCTGCCAATACCCTAAAGCTACAGCCCCCAATTCCGTGAGAAATTTCTTGGTGGCATTTCCAGTTGTTTAAGCGTCATATTGACCCGAACGGTTCACGGGACAACGTTGACCATTTTTTTTACTGGTTGGAACCATTGGATGGTTAATGATGGTTAATGATGGTTAATGATGGTTAATGATGGTTAATGATGGTTAATGATGGTTAATGATGGTTAATGATGGTTAATTGATTAATATATAATGGTTAATAATTACTGCTTGGTGGTTTGGAACATGGCTGGATTATTTTCCATTATATTAATGGGATGTCATCCGAAACCCATTGACGAACTCCATCATTTTTCAAGATGGTTATATAAAACCACCAACCAAATTAATATCATATATTTATATATATATATTTGTGTTTGATATCCGCATGGTGGGTTTTTCCACTGGAAATTTTTGTGGCAGTGAATCCATGTGACCGTGCGACACAATCTTCATCATCCAAACATTGGGAATACCCGGCCTGGTAAACATACAAAAAGCTATTGAAAATGGAGGTTTTACTGTATATGGTTTTATGGGAAAATCATGGGAATATATGGGGATACCCTCTGGTAATTTGGTACATAGCTATTGAAAATGGCCTTTTTTAGAAAAAAAAATTGATGAATCCCCATTTTCATAGCATGGTGGATCTTTCCAGTTCGCAAACTGTGAGAGTTTACCAGAGAGTATACTATATAATTATGGGGATATTATCATCATTATAATCATTATAGCCATTACATAGCCATTATTATAACCATTACATAACCATTATTTACCAGAGGGTACCCATCGACAAAGCATTGACATTCTCAGTGGTCCAGGGAGGTCAATCCCATCTGAAAACCCGTGCAGGGCTTGCTGGAATCGACTGTGATGGCTGTGTTGGCAGAATTTGGCATCAAGGCGGAGAGATGGAGATAACAAAAAGATATAAAAAACCGGCAAATCACTAAGTCCTCTGGTTATGTCAACAGTTTGCGAACTGGGAAATGGCCTTTTTGAAATAGTTGATTTAGCCAAATTTAGCCATAAAAAATGGTGGATCTTTCCAGTTCGTTTTCTGGGACAGTTTACCAGGCCGGGTAAGTGGAAGTCTTCAGAAACCGGTAGAATCAGGGAGAAGAATGGAATAGTTTGGCCAAGAAAAATGTGTGGAAACTGTCGATTTTGGCCAAGTTCAACATGAAGGTAAAAAGATCTTCAACTGATTTCAAGCATAGACTGCATATTTTTGGAGTCCGAAAGTCCGACATCGAGGTGAACCTTCCACTTCTGACCCTCAACAATCGTGGTCTTAAACCATCAAACATATGGGTTTACATGGTTCAACATCGTTTTAAGCATCAAACTTAGAGGTTTGAACATGAAAAAAAGGTTCAACCATCACAAGGATGGACAGTGGGAAAGCAGAATTGGATAGGGGAGAATTCAGAGCAAATTTTCATCAATTGTTTCCTGAAAGTTTTCCATCAAATCCATCCGTTGAGACTATGAGTGAAATTGAACATAATTGAACCTTTTGCCGCAGTCACAATAGACGATAATTGGAAGTGATCTTAGACAATCTATTATAATCTAACGTCCAAGAAACCAGATATGGACGTTCCGAAAATGGTTTTTTCTGGGTAGCACAGACGGCCAGATTCCCCCGGTTTCAACCAGCTTCTGGTTTCAACAGCTTCTGGGTGGCCTGTTTATTCAGGCCACACACCAAATGCCATGTTTAGAGTATAAACTGTCCCAGAACTATGGAACATCACCATTTTTAAATGGCTAAATCAACGAACTCAATGGCAATGTTCAATCGTTTTTTGTACGTTTACCAGAGGGTATCAAATACACTATATATTTAACATATGTTTTCGTTTTCCTGGGATTTCACCACCAGATAAATTAAGCAGCTTTTTGATGAGAAGTCACTGATCAGGGCACCAATGGTGATTTTATATGATTTTATGCACCGTTGGCTTATGGTATCTGAAGATTTTTTGGGCTTTCCAATCCATGGGGTACCCCTAGTTATCATCCATTTTTGTGCTGGGATTTTCCATGAAATAAACCATCCAGCTATTGGTGTACCCCATTTTTGGGAAACCCCCATATCCTAATGACACGGACTATCATCTAGCTACTAACACATTTTTGGTGTGTTTAGATCATAAGCCCCATGATCAGCTGTTGCTAGATGTTGTATTTTTCTTTGCAGGGGTGATGCCCCAGCTAGTAATATCTATATAGTAGCCTTTTTTGATCGGTCTTTGCCGGTTTCAGTTTTGTTGATATCAATTTCGGCAAATCACATTTTTGCTGATTGCACAGATCCCAATGCGTGCTCGTTGCATCCAAATGTTTCTTAGTTAAATCCCCAAGTAAACGTTGGTTTTAAACACCCATTTTCCCATTCCAAACATCCAAAATCGTGTCATATCTTTTCTTTTAATTCTAGTTTTTCATAGTTTATCTGGTTGGTGGTTTGGAAAATAACTGGATTATGACTTTCCATTCAGTTGGGAATTTCATCATCCCAACTGACGTTCACTAACTCATATTTTTCAGAGGGGTAGGTTGAAACCACCAACATCCACCAACCAGTTATCCATGTTTGTCCCAAAATAGATCCCCATGGGCCGCTATTCTATCCCATTAGTCATAGAACTGGAAGATGGGAAATTTTAGAGGAAAACGCTATATTTGATGGTAAAAACCATGGTTTCCTGTAGATTTTCCCTTAAACCAATCCACTGAATTAGACCAGCAATCGAATTTGGCTCCGAGGGCCGAGTGGAACCATCAGATTTCGGGCGCATCCGCATCCGTGGTGAAGAGCCGCCCGCCTTGGCATGGCGTTGGCGAACTACCCCAACGCGCTTTCGTGGGATATGTATTAATGGAGGTTTATGGAGGTTTCCAATCCATGGGGATAGCCTTAAATCATCCGTTTTTACGATTTTCCATAAATGGGGATATCCCAAGCGAGCATTGGATGGTTTATTTCATGGAAAATCCTATTGAAATGATTTGAAACGGATGAGTTGGGGGCATCCATGGGCATCCCCATTTTATGAAACCTCCATTAACGCATTAATTGAACCATTTAGGGTATGTTTAAAACTATATAGGGGGATGGGATTACTGAGATTAGCTGATTTATCATTGCTAAGCTGACGTACTTGGTGAATTCTACGGTGATATTGGGTGATATAACATGATACAAATATAAGTTGACGAAGATAACTCAGTGATTTCTATGGATTTTGTGGTTTATGGGGAATATAACATGATATAAGTTGACTTATGACTTGATGAATTGTTTGGTTTTTATCAACTTACTAAGTATATAAGTAATAGCCCTTTGCTTAGCAAGGCCAGTTCGATTAGATTAATGGAGATATCACCAGTCTTAGACGTACTTTTGTATGGGTTAAACACCATTCACCAATTGTTTTTTTTTCACCCAAGTGGGTGGCTGAACCATCCAACATGATGTGGCTGAAGCATGGAAGAAAGGTGGCATTTAACTGAAGCATCAAAAATTGTGGTTTCACCATAGATAAATATGCATTTAGTCCTTTTCCAGATGGATTCTTCAATAAGGGCCGGATAAGTAAAGGAATTCTCCCTTTAGATGGCCTTGTTTCAGCTCATACCTGGAGCGGAACGTTGAAGACCATGCAATTGGATTCGTGAGTCTGGCTTGGGAAGACAAGCTAGTGAAAGTACTTCAAGGCCCGTTTTTGGCGAGCTGAAATGCAGCCTTAGATACGGCTTCTTGTGCACTGCCTGGTTCTTTCAAAGAAACAACCAGAAGCGAAAACAACGGTGTGCCTACATATGCTCCGATTGAAGAAGCTCCCGTGAGAATTGGTCTCCTAGACAAAAGCTTGGAAGCAAAGATAGTTGACTTTGAGGACAGATTGAAACCTGTGTTCGCTTCTTTAGCTTCCTTGTCAAAGCACAGAAACATTTGCGATGCTGATGACATTTGGGGATGATGTACGTCACCTCTAAAAAGTCAATGGAGTCTTCAGGGTCTCCTCTAGGAGACATTAGGAAAGCATGTTTCCCCATCCACTCAGGTTTCAGCAGTAAGACTGAAAAATCAGCTGTGAAAATACTTGACGTACAAGGCTGGATTGGTTATGATTGGTTCAGACATGTGAATTTTCCCTCCTAAAATTGGGATGGTCCAATCGCTTCCTTCCTTCCCGGGGGTTCCGCATCACATTTTGGCCTTCTGCACCCGTCTGTTATCGCAGACAATGGGATTGAATCAGCACATATGAGAGATGCGAACCATGGTGCTGCCATATGAACCCCTACAAAACTGCCCTTGCCCTAATAATCACCCAGAAACTTTAGTAGGCTTTTATATACCGTATCACCATGGTTCGCAAATCTGGGAGAGTTGAACCTTTCCCATTGGTTAATTCAAAACATCATCAGAAATAGTGGGCCCAAACCATCCATTAAGCGCCCAAAAAGATCAGTAACTCAGCACTATTACTGAGATTCGGAATTTACGAATTTACTCTTCTGCTTCAGCACTATTTGGTTACTCTATTGGATTCACTGGAGCATTAGCTCACCCATTAATCTAGCTGGGATATGCTGGGATGAGGTACCCTGCCGGGCAAACGTTGACAGTTCGATGTGGAAAATGCATGGTTTCCATCGAACAAATCATCTACAAATGGTGAAATGGTGGGTTTTCATCGGGGTTTGAATTTCCCCTACGAAATACGTTAGCCCGGGTTTGCTACAAAGCAGGTTTGGGCCAAAAATTGTACGCGGAAGTCGTCCTGGGCCATGCATTTTGTACCAACACCATTTTTTCATGAAAAAAAATGCACCTGGTTTGGCATTTTGTAGTGCTTCCATGTTGTTTCCAAAATTCCGGTTTCTTGAAGATCTTACCTCAGGATTTTGCATTTTGTAGGGCACCTTTGGGGGGAACCTTTGGGCTGTCATTGCGCATCTGGATTCTGGTTGCTGCATTTTGTAGCAGCATTTGTATCCCGCTTGCAATTTCCCATACAGAATGGGTGGTCTTAAGGCCACTACAAAATGGGTTTTTATAGGTCATTTTGTAGTGAGGCCACCTTGTAAAAAGGTCCAGGGCCCACTCCAACTTTGGCAGACCAGGGCATTTTGTAGAAAAAATACCGGGGCCCACGGATGAAGATAGAAATTACTTTGAAAAAGGGAATTTCCAAGGCCAGGCAGTTTGTAGTGAAATTACCGGGTCCCATGGAGGACTCTTTAAAATTGGAACCCCTGCGTTTTGTAGTGAATCCATTGGGTTTCTGGAAAACATGTAACATGTTGTGATTTTGCTAAAGTATTCCACTTGTATATAGATTATTATAATTCCGACAGACCCAAGTATCACCTGATTTGCCAGGGTTTTGTTTCTCTCTCTCTCTCTCTCTTCTCGCTCTTTTATGTGTGGCGAGTATATGTTTTAAACGCGTATGTTTGATTATTTGCTGACCCCCCATCACGTCCATACAAAATGACAGGTCTTCTGCTAGAACGCCTACAATATGGACTGGTGTGTTGTTGTTTACCTTCTCAAGAAAGATCGCGACAAATTCTAGTGAAACTATTCTCTTCCATGTCATGCCCCTACAAAATGACAGGTCCCTTTCGAAACCCTACAAAATGGGCCGCTGTTCTCATTTTCTTGCTTCACATGCTTCAAAAGGTCTGACCTCCAGACTGCGCAGGATATATTTGCGAGCATTTATACATTTTCTGTTCCCCCATCATGCCTCTACAAAGTGAGGAAACAGCTAAAATATGGTTTGGTGTTTTGTTATTTCCTGTGCATATAGTCATATAGCCGAAGACACCCCAAGAGAAGTACTAAAAATAAAATTAGAGTTCAAAGTCATACTTAGTATTTGTTTGGTGTTTCTATTCCCACGTCCCCCATCATGCCATATCATGCCCCTACAAAATGACAGGTTTCCTTCCAAGCACCTACAAGATGGGTTGGCGTTGTGGTTCTCTTTTTTTCTCAAACATTCAACTTAAGACTTTAGACTCTTCAAAACTGTTTGGGTTCTTGGCACCCATCATGTGGTTCCTTCCAAAAAAAAACCGACACACACACAGAGAACAACATGATTACTTGCTAATTTGTTTCCTCATGGTTTTGAGTCTTGAGACGTAAAAATGCAGCGAACCTTCCTGTGGTTTTACTCCCTTCAATCTGGGTTCTTGATGCATTTTGGGTTGACTACAAAATGGGTATCTTGAAATTGATCACGCAAATCGGATTTTTCAGACTGCTCAGGGCCCCTCAGAGCCATTTTTTTGTCTACAAATTGGGGCTAATAACATGTAAAAACAGCCTTTGAAGACAATCTTGATGAAAAAAATATAATTCAAATCCTGTTTTAACATCTTTTCGGTACTCATTTTGTAGTGAAAAAAACAGACTCAGGTCCGGCATCTTGTAGAGAGAAATACCGGGGCCACTACTAAATGGGTGGCTCCAAGCCCACCCCCCTAATTGGCAGGGGGATGCATTTGGCTGATCATCTCCCGAAGTGCTTGAGATCACGTTGATGATACAATGGGTTTAATATTGTATAAATTCATGTGTATTTTCTGGAAACTTTGATAGCATATGATAGCATTTACAAGCAGGCAGCATCACAGTACAATCATGCCCATGGATGAATATGGATGAATATGGCTGAATGGAATGAAATTTGTCAACTAATCACAGCTCGGTACAAAATGCAAACCTCATGGGGGGCACCAAGTGGTACATTTTTTTGGGTGAAAGTAGGCTTCGCTACAACATGCAAATTGCAAGTAGTAGGTCAACAAGTAGCATCCCCTGAAGAATTATACCGAATATTCATGTTGGGTATATTTGCATTTTGTAGTGGCAAAACCTGACCTGGCTTTGCATTTTGTACCGGAAATTCCTCGATACGCATTGTATTTTGTAGAGGGGCAGACTCGGGATAGGCAAATTAAGGCTTACAAAAACATGGCCCGGGTCCATAGTCTAAATACCCTTTGGTAAACTAACATAACTATGGAAAATCACCATTTATAGTGGATTTTCCCATGAAAAATGGTGGATCTTTCCATAGTTATGGGACAGTCTACCAGGCCGGGTACCGAGGTCGATGGGTTTTCCACATCATTTTATGTTTACAGGAGTAAAAACCTGGCCAGATTTTTGAGGTTGGAACGCTTTGGCTGCGAGCTGCAGGGTGTTCCCATGAAGAAGAAGGTGCGGTGCAGCTGCGGGAACTCCCAACTTTGGACCAACAAAAAGGAGATTCAACCTGAGAAAATGTCTGCTTGGTGGTTTCAAACATGAATGGATGATTTTCCATTTCATCTATGGGATGTCTTCCCATTGACGAACTCCATCATTTTTCAAGATGGTTATATCAAACCACCAAGCAGATGTGGATTTTGTGAGCAAAAATACGTGGATTCCATCAGCCGAAACATGGGATTTCTCAGCAAAACACAGGATTTTTCATCCAGATATCCAGCATATCAAGAACTGCACAACGGAGAGGCAAGAATGATGGGGTAGACTCGTCAACAGCTTTAATGTGGAATTTTCGTCATCGACAAAATATAGGAGTGTAATGGTGCAACTGTATAACATTGTATAACCACCGTCTTGTTTTCTTGGTAACATTGGCAATCTCGGAAACTCCAGGTTCACGGAAAGTACATCCACAAATTTGGAAAGGTGCCACCACGTACCACACGTTTGCACCAAAATGATGTATGGCAAACTCCGGGGGTATCGCTTAAAGGACAATTACGTACAAGCACAGTTGTGACAGAACCTTTCCAAAGGGGGGTATAGCTATTTGGAAAGGTCCCATGGCTCGTCTCGTGTTCTTACCATTTCCAGAATCCGCTCTCCGTCCCCTTCGTGTTTAGCATTGCCGGACTTTTTGCGGTTTCTCATATCTTGTATTATCTTGTTGATATTTACATACATGTACACTGAGGAGGTTAGTCAGTAGACAATAGCAGTGATAGTCGGCGATATCTTCGATTGCAGTGTTATGAGCCTTTCAGCAGTTACGTGTTCGGTGTCGGCACATATCAGAAGTTTGACTACCACAGGGGAAGGATGGGTTTGTCATGGTTTGTTCAATTCAACCCATCTTCGGTGACCTTTTGGATACCATGTTGGCAAGATCGGTAGCCTAAAAGTCGCAAAAAAATCGTGAAGCCCGGATGAAGAAAAGCCTTTTCGACGGATAGGCTACGACTGGGGGTGTTTTGTTGCGGTTATTGATGGGTAAACCCATGGTAGCAAGCCCGCAAGTTGGGATACCCCAAAAAGTCGGCAAATTGTCGCCAAATTGCCATCCGATAAAATATGACCATTGGACATCCCCTACAAATGCGGGTTTATAGCCAGGAACATATGTAAATATAGTATATTATGATTATATAAATGAGGGATTTCGGTCGCCATGTTTGATTACTGAAGGGTGCATGTAATAGGATGAGCAAAAATATCCCAGATCAGAAAGGGTATCGCCTAGCCAGGTACGTGCGCGGTGAGGAAAAAGATGTGCAGATGTGGCATAGGGGGTTGACACTTGTTTTTCTTGCAACAGGAACCGACTGATTGGATGTACCTACCAAATATCCCCACAAAATATGGCCTTATATGGTACTAACGTACCTACATTTTAGGATCCTGGAGATCTCCCATTGATTTCTAGGCCCGGCATTTTTAAAGGAGGGTATATCATTTGATGTCCGCGCTTTAAGTTCTGGGCATGTCCGCGTACACGTCACAAAAAGTGTGGCTGGTGGTTTCGGACATGTTGGAATGGGTACCTTCCGATGGAGATATGAACTGGATTCAATAGAGATTCAATGGGATTTTATATAGCCCAGATGCTCCATGTATGGAATATTTACCTACATTTACCTACAGATGGCCATTTGTTGGGTAAATGTAGGTAAATATACTATACATGGAGCACCTGGGTAATGGTATTTAGATGTATTTAGCGGGATTTAATAAAGATGTGATCGTGATTTTTGATAGGACTTAATGAAGTATATAATCAACCACGCGATATTTGGCTGTCAATCGAATCATGTTTTTTGCCCTCCTGAGGGGACAAATTTATGGTTTAAAAAATGGTATTTTTGGGATGTGGATTTGGGCCATATATTAGTAATTAAGCCAACATTATTGATATTGGGGATAATATCAACCAACTGTTTTAAGCAAGACATTTTCACAACATTACTCTATTACTGAGGGTGCCAGTTCGCGAACTGGAAAATCACCATCGAAATCATAGCTAAATTCATTATGAATCATTGATCAGTTAATGGTTTATGGTTTCCAAAGCTTTTGTCTAGTTGCCTGCAGGGTAAATGGATGATAATGGATGTTCATCCCCAACGGAATCGATTCCTTGAAACTAGGGACGCAGACTTCAGTTAGGTCAGGTTCCTTTCCAGTAATCAGACATGGCTTAACAGAATATCCGCCATAGAAATGGATGATTTTCCCAGGAAACCTCCATTTAGTTCGAGGATTTTCCCACGTTTGAGGCACCGGAGGGTAGATACGTTTTCCATTGACCTGGCTCTAGCTGGACACCAACTTTTCCTTCCGCCCTGGTGTCATTTTTCTACTGCCAAGTGACTTCATGTCAAAGGGAACCAAAATCACTGGTTGATGTTTTCACATATGTTTGGCTTCTTTTGGAAACACCAGATTGTCTGTTCATGGTTCATGGCCGCTCTTTCTGACTCCCAGTGTGTCGCACTGAAATGAGACTGATCCGCTGCCAGTGCATTCCTCCCATGCTTGAATAGCCCAGCACTCTATACGCTGGAACTAAAGCCTTTGCACATTGTCTTTTGCGCCTACCGTGCGCCATGGATGATACATCGTGTCATGATTTGGTGGCTTTGCTTGTTGCTGTGGCTGCGATTAATGAGACAGCGTGGCTTTCCCCCTTTTTTCGGTGGCATTGTTTGAAAGCCAGCAGAATATTAAAGTTGTGTTCAGTTTTGTTTTCATATTCTAAGGAAAGCTGGTTTTCAACAATCTTGTGCTTTTATGGATGGTTTTAAAGTTGGTATTTACCATCTGGTTATGACTAACATAGCGAACTGGAAAATCACCATGCTATTAAGAACGGTAAACCATCGATTTCTATGGGCCATGGCTTTACCATGGCGAACTGTCAGCCATAACCAGAGGGTAAGATTGTGGAAAGCTGGTCAAAGCCATCTATCCTGGAAGGCTCGGGACCAGGGGTCCCTGGCCCCGTTTTGTGGAGGACGATGGCACAGCCCTGAATTCGTGTCGCATACCTGGCCTGGTAAACTGTCCCATAACTATGGAAAACCCAATTTTTTTATGGGAAAACTCACTATTTCAATAGCTATAAATGGCCATTTTCAATAGCTATGTTAGTTTACCAGAGGGTAACTTTCGCCGTTTGTCTAGATGGAAAAAAAATGCTCGATCTGACCACGATTTGATACACGCACTAGGAAAACTCGAAAAAAAATTGGGATCCGGACTCGATATTGATGGTCTATGATGGTCTGATCTTGCTGATGCTGGAAGGGCAATACACCCGGATTATTCGAATGCAACTACTCAACTACTCTATCTTATCTTCACATATGTTTGACTTATTGTTGTGCATGTAAATATGTGCATGTAATTATGTATAGAATATGTATATGTATATGTATGATATGAAGGTGTATATACGTATAATATACATAATTATATATATATATATATTATGTTGCAAAAACTCGTGTATACATGTATCTACAGTGTATATATATATATATACATATTTGGTTGGTGGTTTCGATCATTTTTTATTTTTCCATTCAGTTGGGAATTTCATCATCCCAACTGACGAACTCCATCATTTTTCAGAGGGGTGAAACCACCAATCATAGAATTGGATTATGGGAAATTTTACAGGAAAACCCTATATTTGATGGTAAAAACCATGGTTTCCTGTAGATTTTCCCTTAAACCAATCCAGTGAACCAACCAGTTTATACACACATACATATGAATATATGTCACTGATGAGACTGATGGGCGACCAGACCAAAATCAGGAGGTTTTCCACGTTTTTCGGAGCCCAAAAAAACTGCAGGGCACCAAAAAGATGGTTTGTGGTCATTGATTTTAATCTATGGATATGGAAAATAATCTCCAGATATTATGGAAAATAATGTAAGATAGGGAAATGTAAGAAGTTGGATATTATCACTTGATGGTTACCCTCTGGTAAATGGTTATATAATGGTTATAATAATGGTTATGTAATGGTTACAATGATTATAATATCCCCATAATTATGGTATACCCTCTGGTAAACTAACATAAATATGGGAAATCACAATTTTTAATGGGTAAATCAACTACAACTAAATGGCCATTTTCAATAGCTTTTTGTATGTTTACCAGAGGGTAGTCATTGCCCAGATCATCTCTGTGTGGTACGTTTGCCACTAAACAAACTACACAAGTACCGAAATGCAGGCCGTTGGATTTACCTTTCATCATCTTTCATCAATACTTCGGGTAGCCTCTGGTATATAATCAAACATGGCTTTGTTAATCCCCATTTGTAGACTACTAATAGATTATTTTCCGAGTTTCCCAACTTTTTTCATGGCAGATCACTGTAATAGATCTATTAAATCTATAGTTGGGATAGATTTTTCGGTGACTCTGAAGCCAAAGCGCGGCCGCGACCTGAGGTTGAGCATCGCTCAGGCTGGCAAGATGTGCTCAGATAAAATGTTCGGATCCACCATCGCCAATTTTAGCGATTTTATGGTGGCATTAATCATCAACATAGGTTTGTGAAACTTATGCGAATCACACTTTGAAAAGCAGGTGCCATACCTATGGCACGCAAGAAGAAGAGAAGATTAATCATCAACTTGATTCCATCAAAATTTTACATGGGTGATATATGGCATTGCTTTGCTAACATGAGGACTGGAGCTTTCAAACAAAATAGGGGAGACCCAATTGGGTCACCGAGACGGTCTCAGTACTGAAAAGGTCATCCTTTATGAACCGTTATGACATGGAACCTTTTAATAAAGATGACCAGAACCAGAATAAAGATATGCAAAGATTGGATAGATAATATGTATATATACAATATATATATATATATTTATGCATATTGTGTACCCATACATATGGTAAATACAACAATGTAATAGATGTATAGTCAAAGCAACATTTTGATCAGAATGATTAGGTTTTATTTTTTGCTCAATTACATATTTTTGCGTGCAATCCACTTGCTCTCCGGTAATCAAACATAGCAATGGACAACCTAACATGTACAGATGATATTCCCATTCAAAACACAGCATTTATAGAATTGTCAATTGCTATTTTTGATTGCCACATGGTAAACACCTAGAAGATACATGAAACAATGTTGGAGAAGTCCGCAAAGTCAACTATCTGTTAGATGAATTCCGTTTGGGTATGGGTCAGAATTTGGTAAGCATACCCATCTGCGATCTGGCCTAAAATTTTGACCCATACCCTCTGGTAATTTAACATAGCTATTGAAAATGGCCCAGTCGAAATCGTGAGTTTTCCCATTAAAAATGGTGATTTTTCATAGAGGGTACCTGTGTTTTTGGGTTTTGCTCACTAGCTTTGAATGAACATAGGATACCCACGGATACCCCGTATGCATTTCCGTAACCAGTTTCGAGCCGTCACCCAAGGTGTGACTTGTTTGGTGCGCAATGTTCATGCATTGTCGACATCATTGGTTTGTTTTGTACAAGGTGGTGCCCCAGTTCGGAATCGCTAAGTTGGTTTATAACTCCAATAACTATGGTTTACGGTAGATATATTGACATACTTACTATGGTTTATAAACCAACAACGCTACAAACATCACTGGGGGGACCAGCTTGTATATGTGTGTCTGTTGGTAAACTATACTATAATGCAGCCGTGTTTGCTATGAAACATTGTATTGAGCCAATATTTGAGCCAATATAATGGAATTCAATCCTATTAAATCCCATTGATATCTCATTCATGCATATCTATCCATGATGTTGGTCATGTCTCCATTAATATCATTCTTTTTATCCTTATCCCATGTTTATCCCATGTTTATCCCACTAAAATTCCATTCCAGCAAAAAACCCATGAAATGCCCCTAAATCCCATATAATATCGTACTATACTAATACTATATAATCAGCTGATATATTCGTACTAATATATATATATAAATAGTATCCCCTATATATTATTATATAATCAGCTATATTCATTCCATTCAAATCCCCTTAAATCCTATCAATTCCCATGAATATCTCCATGTTTATCTGGTTGGTGGTTTGGAACATTTGGATTATTTTCCCATATATTGAGAATAATAATCCCAACTCACGAACTCATATTTTTCAGAGGGGCAGGTATACCACCAACATACTAAATGGAAAATCACCATTTGTAATGGGCAAATCAACGCACTAAATGGCCATGTTAAATAGCTTTTTGTATGTTTACCAGAGGGTACAGGATGGGGCCCCCAAGATAGCTAAGTTGCCTTATAAGTGGCTTAGCCTTGGTTTATGGTAGATATAACGAACTAGTTGATGGTGGTTATTTCATGGTATATCAACCAAATTATAACTGGGGGGGTCCATCCTGTAATATAACCATATAAAACCATATAAAACCTCCATTTCTAGTGGATATGTCCTATATATATCAAACCACCAACCAGTAATAAATCTATGTTTACCAGAGGGTATGTTGTTTTTAAAATGTTTGACCCATCCGCAACTGGCACCACCTGGCCCCACAGGTCACAGCTGCTCAAAGCACCACACGGGACTGGGGAGAATCTTATCGCCTGGCAGAGAAGTGCCTCGGCAGTTGTGGCAACAAAAAACACATTGGTTTAGTATGGGGTAATGATGGTTAATCATCAATGATTAATATGATTAAATATGTATCATCCATGTGATAATCATCAATGATGGGCAGTACATTTATCGCACTATCCATTTATAGATGTTAAGGGCCATCACTGGTCAGAATTTTACACACCACTAAAAATACCAATGATGGTTACTGATGGTCAATGGTGGTTAATGATGGTCAATGATGGTCAATGGTGGTCAATGATGGTTAATGATGGTTAATGATGGTTAATGATGGTTACTGATGGTTAATCATGGTTAATGATGGTTAATGATGGTTATTGATGGTTAATCATGGTTAATGATGGTTAATCATGGTTAATCATGGTTAATCATGGTTAATGATGGTTACTGATGGTTAATGATTGTCAATCATGGTTAATAATTTAACAATGGTTAATGATGCTTAACCATGGTTAATAATTTAACAATGGTTAATAATGGTTAATGATGGTTAGTAATGTGACATATAACCTTAGTACATTGATGTACTAATTAGGTTGTATCAATTAATGGTAATTCCGGTTTAGTACGTGGTAGTACTGTAGACCTTACTCGTCTCACCGTTGTGCCTATGCAAAGTGCTGTTATTCATATGTTTTGGGGCATTTCATTGTGATGTCATAGGGATTTATATATATAATTGGATTTAATGGTAAGTTCATGGGGGTTTTGTGTCAAACTACCCAAGTGGTATTCCAAATCTATAGGTTATCCATGTCAAATCCAATAACATGTGTATTATTACATGGCAATAGATGATACAAATAGATGATCACATAAATATGTATCATCCATGTGATAATCATCAATGATGGGCAATGCATGAAACACTATCCATTTATACATGTTAAGGGCCATAACTGTAGAAATTTACACACCACTAAATATACTTTAATGGTTTGTCATAGATCATATACCAATGTACGCCAGTGTCCCCAATTATCCGATGGTATCCCAAGTATAGGCCACATGTTCAAACATCCCCAGATATCTTATGCTTAACCATATCAGATAATTCATACCCGACATGTTTGTTGGTCATACATTTCCAATGCTTGTGGGTTGTGGCTCTATCAGGGATATTCGATATGCCTTTAAGTTATTTTCCCATTCGATATTCCCCATCATGCCCCATTGCAATCCAATTACCGCCTTTTTTTTGGTGATTTTTCCATCACCACCATGGATATGCCCCCCCTACTTATTGAATTACCCTCTGGTAAACAAACATAACTATGGAAAATCACCATTTTTAATGGGAAAACTCACTATTTCTATGGCCGTTTTCCAGTTCGCTTTTTGTATGTTTACCAGGCCGGGTACAGTTGATATCGATGGAAAAATAAAACATGCATGGATTGTTGAGATCATCTTCAGGAAACCCATGGACTTTTCCAGATTCTGGTTATGACTAACAGTTCGCCATGGAAAATCTCCCAACCATAAATGGATGTTTATAGCGAAAATCATCTATTTCTATGGGCCATCTATACCATGGTTATGTTAAATAACCAGAGGGTACCCTGTTTTTTTTTCTGTCATAGTTTTGGGCTATTTAGCACTACATTCTTGTGGTTAAATCATGGTTAAGCCTCCTCAAAAGGTTATGGTTATTGAAGAAATAGAAGGAACCCTACCCTCTGGTAAACAAACATGACTATGGAAGAGCACCATTTTTGATCGGTAAATCGTAAATCAACTATACATGGGTTATTTTCAATAGCTTTTTGTATGTTTACCAGAGGCTATATCGTTTTTTCACGGATGAAGCCATGAAATTAAGACGCGGGCAGTTCCACGGGCTGGGCAATTCACCATCCAATTAGTAGGTCATCGGTCAGAAAATACCAGGTCCATCGAAGCAGTCATCAGCGGTGTAGGATCTCAAAATGATCCAGATAATGAAGGTTAATGAAGGTTAATGATGGTTAATGATGGGTAATGATGGTTAATCATGGTTAATCATTTATCATTTTGATTATGCCAAAAATAATGGTCTGTTTAAGGTGGTTTCGTTATTTTTTTCACTTTTTCCATAATATGAATGGATGTCATCCGAAACCCATTGACGAACTCCATCATTTTTCAAACGGGAAACCATGGATTTTCCCGATCAGGGGCCTTGAAAACCGGTGTCAATTGTCCCAACAAAACCAATCCATTGACTATCAAGTTTCCATGAAATCCCATTAAATCACCATAAATTCACCATAAGTCTGATTCAAATCCCATTAAATCCCATTAAATCACCATAAATCACCATAAAATCCATTGACATCGACGATTCAAAGCCTCCTTTTTTGAACTTCAGAATGACTAGGTCCCTTAAGTTCCATTGTGGTTTGACAAAGCTCACTTTCGAGCGGTCCCGTACATTCAAACAACATGCAAGCAATAGGTACACATCAGCCAATCATTTGCATATATATATATATATGTATATATATATAATCATGATTTTATAACCAATGACATAATGATTTGAAGATTTTTATGAGCCACATGTATATATATATATATATACACATTGAGATGCACATCGAACTGGTCATCCAAGTTCAAAGGACCCTGAAGAAACTCAGCAAATGGCAGAAGTCCAAGCTGGTACGAGGCGTGGGTTGGCAAAGACGCTTGGCATTTTTTAACCGGTTTCGGGCGATTTCATGGGAAGAGTTGACTTATGTTAGCTAAGTCGGGTATCAGTTAAAACAATGCCATTTGCACCATCCCCCAGTCATCACCATTTTTATAGGTGCTATAAACCATTCCCAAATGGGTAGTTTATGGCATTGTTTTAACCACATTAATCGAATTTTAACCAGCAAATATTGGACACATGCTGGTTTTGAGAATTAGAAATATATTTGGATGGGATTACTGTTGTTGGTGCTGCTCATAGTTAGCTAACGTGGTGCACATAATTCCATTCATAGGGTTCATGGGCGATACAACTATAGTTACTATGGATTATAAATCAACAAACATAACTGGGGGGGCACCACATTGTAGTTTCTGGGGATTTACAAAATCTAATCAGGAGATTGTTGGGGATATTGGGATTGTAATGATTGTAATTGGTTACAACGGATTTTCATAGATACAATTGATATGTACCCTCTGGTAAACTAACATAACTATGGAAAATCACCATTTTTTATGGGACAATCCACTATAAATAGCCATTTTCAATAGCTATGTTAAATTACCAGAGGGTATGTATCAATTCCCTGTTGGTTGATGATGATAGCCGGTTATACTACACAATAATCACAGGGGATCATCATAATCAGTTCATGGATGTCCATGTTTACCAACCAGTAAGTATCATGGGATTGCTCAAATTGGGGGTTCTTAAAATGGAAGATCCCCTAATCATCTAAAATTGGATTATTCTATGATGCATGATGATCAACATCAACCTGAAAGTTGTACGTTTCCATACGTTTTGAGGCATTAAACAAGACTTATTTTTGCTGGTTAATAAAGGATGCTCTATAATTTCACAACTAAAGAGATGAAACATAAATGATCTCTATACCATTTAAGGATGTTATATGATTTATGGATGTTATCCCTAGATGACTACTAAACAGACTATCCCTAAATTTCTATTTTGGCCAATTGAATGCACCCCATGGCCCAACACTACGCGGCCTGAAATGTTGACCCGTTGACCCTGATCCACTTCTACCTAAACCCAGCTTGGTTTAATCTCCAAAGCTGGCGTGTTGGAAATCAACCATTTCTGGTTGGTGGTTTGGAACAGAACTGGATTATGACTTTCCATTCAGTTGGGAAGTTCGTAACCCCAACTGACGAACTCATATTTTTCAGAGGGGTAGGTATACCACCAACCAGATAAATTAACCATAATAGTCTCATAGTCTCATAGTTCCCATCTTTTTGCCCATTGTTCATCAAAATTCTCCTATGATTACCCTATTTTACCCATGTTGTTTCCCTTTTAACACCTTCATTTAGTTCGGGTATATCTCATTGCCATGTTTGAGGACACAGCTTCGGGTGTCCCCCGAAGAATGCTTGGAAGAGTCTCCATGCCGTGTCAGTTCAAGGGCGACCCTACCACCTTTTCAACTTTCACAAAAGCAGGTCAGTTTACATACACGTATATACATATACATGCTGTATCATACATTCATACATACATTGCATTACATTACACTACACTACATTACATTACATTACGTTACATTACATTTACAGTGCATTGCATTACATTGCATTACACTGCATTACATTGCATTACATTACATTATGTTACATTACATAGTACGTGTACACAGATGCATATACATATGTAAGATTATGTGTGTAACATGCGTGTATGTATGTATATATATACACATGTATATCTATCTACATATAGAGACAATCACCATCTCGGAGGGGGGAGGGGGGACCGCTAGACACTGGGCCATATATACATATTATATACTCATATGATTCTCATACATACAATAGGCACATGCATACCATATGCATGTGTATATTTATATACATACATATACTGTATATACTATGCACATTCATATATATATATATGCATATATATATATATATACACGCACATACATACATATGTATATTTATGCATACATATATCCACATATATGCACATACAATTGTATATTACACACGTACTCGTTAATGTTGTATAGATAGTGGAGGTGCAGACCCAAAAGCCGCAGGGCAAACACGGCAAACACCAGCTCTCAGGATGGCAGTTGACACCTGGCTTCTATGCCACTTTGCTGAAGATTGAGATGGTCATTGGTTGAAACATGCTCCAAAAAAATGTAAAAAACAACATCGAAAAACAGGGATTTAATATGATTTAATGATTTAACCCATTAACAATTTGGAAAAATGGAACTGAGTTGGTTTGGTTGACAGGGGCTCTAGGGGCGTCCCAGGAATGTGATGAGAAACTGCTGGATTTTGGTTATCCCAAATGCATTGAGGAAATGACTTAAAACAAAACCATTTGATCTTAAAACTATAATAAACTCAAATGGTTTAGTATTTTAAACCATTCTCTTGAGTTCAAACCAATTTTCAATCTTGAGACAACCTGAAATGAGTTTGGACTCTCCCTGTGGTTAACGATTCCTCTGGTGAGGAATGGACGCTTACGGCCCCCTCAGAACCTCATAATTTTTGACATTTGGTTTCACTGTTTTTTTTTTTTTTCGGTTTGTATTTTTTCATGTGGTAAAGGCATAATCAAATAAGATTTAGGTAGTAGACTTCCGAGGAACTGAATTGTTCAACATCACATCAGTTCATCATCACCTTACCTCAGCATCACATCAGCTTAGCATCACATCAGCTCAACATCACAGCAGCTCAACATCACATTACCTCAACATCACGTTACCTCATCCTCACATTATATACCTCAACCTCACATTATCTGAACCTCACCCTACCTCAACCTCACATTACCCCAGCCCCACATTTTGTCAACACCACACTACCTGAACCTCACATAAGTCAGCCTCACTTTGGCTCAACCCCACTTTATTTCATCCTTACATTATGCCAACCTCAAGGGAGTCGCTGTGAGTAGTGAAGGCGCGGAAACCAGTTATAACCAGCAACGCCCCAGGTGGGGACGATCACAGGCACCAAATCCGCCGGTCTCCCATGGCTCAAGATGCAAGAGTCCTGGTGAATGTTGGACGCGGTGGAGAGCGGCGGGGCGAATCCGGTGTTTTCACATCCTGTGTTTTTTGCATCAGAAATGGTGGAAAAATCCAATGAAACAACAACAAAAAATGAACTTACTCTGACACGATTTGACATGATTTAACCAATGAATGGAAAATCGAAAATAATCGAAATGGGATTGTCCAAACTAATGTGGGGGTTCATCCGCAATATCATGGTTAACCGTGGATTTCAGAGGACGTTAATTTGGGGCAGACCCCATGTTCCAGTATTCAAATCTTAGCACCGATAAAAATTGAAGCCTGAAACTCTAGGGACCGGACGACCAAGCCCCATCAAGGATGATGGTCAGGAATGATCTCCACAAGGTGTAAATGTGGTCAGCAGACAGAACCCTAACCTAAATCTGGCTGGTGGGTTTATATGAGCACTGTTCGAAACCTCCGTTGGCTGATGATTAGTTCGGGGATTGTACTAACCAAATCTAACCCGAATCCCGTTCTCAACCAGTATGTCCTTTGGGATCCAAAATAGTTGATTCTTTGTGCGGCAGTTGAGATTGGCAGTGATGCAATAACATATGGAGGTTTCCAATCCATGGGGGTACCCCCAAATTATCCATCTTAATAGGATGTTCCATCAGAAACCACTCATTTTGGGGTGCCCCTGTTTCAGGAAACCTCCATATATGCAAATGGATGATTTTCCGAAGACACAATGAGGTATATCCAGCAAACATGGGCAATGTTCCCAAGACAATGATACACGCATCCCCATTTAACTATTTGCGGCCCAGGGATTTTGGACACTTCAACCAATTGAAATTTATGATTGGGTTTCCCATGTTAGAGGGGACCACCCACTATTTGTTTTTTTTTTTGGTGTGTGTGTGTGTGTGGTATACAATCTTCAAATGCAGCTTTGGATGTTTTGGTTGGCTATATAATTAGTCATTCAATCTTATATATTCACTGTTCACTTGGTAAAATCAGGTGAAATCTAGTGTTACAGTACCATTCCTGAGATGTTTTTGGGTGATACTGGCCCCAACTTCAAGTATTTGTATACATGTTATACATAAGCCTTTGGAATCCGTCTCCAATGGGCAAAATCCCAGGAATATTGGGAGCCATTAAAAAGACAAACCTCAGATAATGGAATCCGGATAACATGGAATCTTTTTAATGGCTCCCAAGATTCCTGGGATTGTTAGCTAATAATAATAATCCGGAGAACAAATTCCAGAAAAATCCATCTTCGGAATCCATCTTGTTAGGGGCCTATCACATGGAATCCGGATCATATGGACCTCATGGACCTCAAAGCCAACTCATCCAGCCAAACCGTGAATTTGCTGCGCCTGGGTGACCCGGGAAAAAAAACCTGGGAATCCTTGAAAGACAGTGATCATCAGTGATCAGTTGGATAGATGCTAGTGTTCACAAGTCACTGGAATGATGGAAGAGGTAACCCAATACACCCGGAAATTTCAGGTTAGTGAGTTGCAATAATTTCTCACTGGTTGGTGGTTTGGAACATTTGGATTACCCTCTGGTAAACTGTTCCATAACTATGGAAAATCACCATTTTTCATGGGAAACTCACTATTTCTATGGCCATTTTCAATAGCTATGTTTGACATAACCAGAAGGATCCAGAAGGTAATCATATGTCATGGTTCATAGTGGTTAAGAATGGTTGATACATTGATAAGGGTAAAGTTTCATAAATTTTCCATTCAGTTGGGGGAATTCCATCATCAGTGACGAACTCCTCATCTCAGTGGGCCGTGGTACTCTGGAAACCCATGGTGACTTGGATACCCTCTGGTTATGTCAAACAGAAAGCTATTGAAAATGACCATAGAAATTTCGTGGATTTTCCCATAAAAAAAATGGTGGATCTTTCCAGTTCGTTATGGGACAGTTTACCAGGCCGGGTAATTTGGGGGTGGCATCATTTTAGGAAGCCTCCATACTGTGGATGGAAGAAATCCTGCACCACCTTGGATGGTTGAAACCCTATAAATAGTGGGATTACCACCTATTAGCTGGTGCAGGATTTCTTCCATCCACCGTATGTTAGTTCGAAACAATTCACCAAAATCGTATTCTACGAGTGACACGTTTCTCCAGCGGCCCGGCACCCGCAGCAAGGATAGTGGGAATGGATTCAGAGCCATGCTGCAGCAGACCGCCTCTTGCCGGATCAGGGGCGGCACTTGCTACGCTGGTGATAGCCCTTAAGGAGTTAAGCTTATGATATACCTATAACAGTATATAACTTATAAGAGTATAGCATAGTATATAACTTGTAACAGTATATCATAAGGTTAATAACTATAACAGTATATGATAATAAGTATATAATAACTTATAAGAGTATAGCATAGTATAGCTATAATAAGAATCACGGCATATGTTAATCAACTGTGATTAACGGTTATTAAACTTGCTTATAATGGTGTATAACCTTAGTGGAGTGTTTGTTAACCCATTTACAACATAAGTGTATCAACGGGATTTCACGATATCAAAGGGATGCACACATTCGATCCGCAGTTTTTTTTCCTCTCTCCCTATCTTCCGTATTTAGGTTTGAAATGGACCGGCTGCTATATAGGGTATATGTCAGACAGTACATACACAATTACTTAAAGGCAACCTTCTTTGTATAAACGATGCACCATTTTCATGCACCACAAACCATTTTGGGGGTACCCAATGACTTGACCGATACTCAATGCCAATCATGACAGCCGTGTTCGATGGAACAACAGCTTAGTGGACCAGGTAGCAGGTAGCCGTGAATCTCCCGGACTGACCACAAGGCACCAAGGCACCTGCGGAAGCGTACGCTGATCATTTCAGATGTGCGCTCGTGACTGAGCTGGACTGAGCGAGGAGGATGTCTATGTATCCTTATCTGACCACGAACCAGCCGTTCGTGCAGGTCTTCGCACTCTGGGAATGCCTGGTATTGGTTGCGGGTGCCACGCCATCCAGCTTTCTGTGAAGCATAGTTTGCCAGCTTTGCGGCAGAAGCGCCCTCAGATGGCATCCGATTCTGAATCAGACAGCGGCTCCTCAACTTCTTCCAGCTCTACGTCGTCTTCGCATGGAGAGAAAGAGGCAGGGCCAGCTCAGCCTGCTCAAGCACGGCCAGGCCGCAAGGCAGATCCAGCTGCACAGGCGTGCAAGGAGGCCCTGAAGGAACCGTTCAAGCGGTACTGCAGCATGCTGAGGGAGATCGTCCACAACCCATGCCATAGCTTTAGGTAACTCTCTTTGCAGACTTGCAAAACGACAAGACTCCCAGTGAACCTCACTTCCGGGATAAAAGGCCTTAATTTGGCCCATTCAGCAATCCATATATTGAATCACCATAAATCAGCATTAAATGCCCAGCAAATGCCCTGTTTTAATGCCATTAAGTATCATTAAATCACCATTAGTCACCATTAAATGCCATTAAATCCCCATGAAATCAC